TAGGTCAACATTTACTTTCATTTGCTGTTTAAGAAGTGTGAGTTGTTACCCTGATTTTAACGGCTGTAGACTAGAGAGTTTAAAAAATGACTGAGCATCTGAAATATAAATGTTTTAGAGACAAACTGTCACATCTGCAAGTCTCTATTTTCTTGATAAAAAGGCACTTATTTTGGAAGATTATTTGGTGTTGGCAAGTTGTGTGTGACTGATGCTGGCTGAGCTTGTGTCTCACCGTCAGCTCTGAGCGTCCGCTTTGCTGAGCGCTGAGACGGGCTCACAATAATAACAAGTGGGAGTCTGGGAGTGATTAAGGAAGAGAGTCTGTCTGTTGAGGTTTGACTTTCCTGTTTGCAGATTGAGCTCAGAGCAGCAGCATCGCTGTTCCTCCATCTGTTTTTAATCAGCCAGGCATTCTTCTCAATACAGGAATCCTGATGGGACTCCTAAATCTCTCCACCACAGGCCCTTTGATTTCTGTGTGCCTCTCACGATGCCTGTTTGCCTATCTGCGTGTGGTTGTCCGTGTGAACGCTCGTGTGCATGTGTGCTGAACGTTTGTCAGGTGCTTGATGATTGGATTGGTGGTACGGGCTCATGAGACAGAGGAGGAGGCGACTCGAACCTGCACTTGTGCCTCATGAGTGGGCGTTTAGGTTTACTTGAATAGTTTCTGAAAAGATAGAAAAACCTGATTAAACTTCCCTTTGGGAATGACCTGAAAAGTAAAAATGATTCATATAATTAGAAAAACTACATCAATGTGAACGAGAAAGAAGAGATGTTACACTTGTTCCTCACGACTGGCTTTCCGACTGGCATAGCAAAATCTGATAAAACTTACCTTTAGGAATGACCTCCCAAGATAAAGAATTAGAAGAATTAGAAATATATGTACACAAAAAGAAAATTATATAATTTGTGAGAAAGGGGGTTAGAATGTTCCACCTAGCTCCTTAAAAGTGAGTCGCTGCTCCCCAGACAATGCAAAGTAGAGAGGAAAAAGTTTCCAGTAGATTTCCCTGATGTCTTTCTCTCTCTCTGTCTGTGTGGGGCTCTGGAGATTTTCTCCATCTGTTTGCTGAATTTAAGAATGATCCGTTACCCGCTTCATAAGAGCTTGCTTATTAAATTTCTATGTTGTTCTCATTATTCATGCTGCTTTTCACAAGAGCGGCAGTAATCATGTTTGCGCAACTTTCTTAAATTTCCAATCTCGTTTCTGGGGACGAAGTGAGACCCCAGCTTGTGTTTTCACTTCTTTTGAGGTCATCTGACAGAGTCCAGAGTTAGCTTTCCTCGTAGGCCATTATGACAGATCTCTTTGTTCCTGCACCACAAAGCTCACTTTGATCTTTTTATATTAAGTATTTCCAGCCTTGTAATGCAGGCTGGGAGGAAAGAGAAAATGAGGAGCATGTGGCTCACTCGGGTCAGAGTTGAGCTTTATGATCCAAAGCAGTGGGTAAATGCCCAATAAACCCTTCCTTGTGTTGCTTTATTTATATCTTGGCACACAGATATCATTTATTTATTAAATGTCAGATGCTGTGAGCATCAACAAAGATAAAAGTCGCATTGATTTGTTTGAATGTCAGGCTGGTACCAATAATTTTATGGCCGGGCCCTGGAGGGCAAGCGGCCTCCCCGGCTTTGATTGGGTCAGTTTATGACGTGTGAAGTATTTTATTTCCTCTCTGCTGTTCTCGCTTTAATTCGCGTATTTATAAGTGTTTGTCTAAGGTGGTAGCTTTTCCTTTCAGATTTATAGGGCCTTCTGCTGAAAAATAGTGCTTAGTGCTCTTTTTTTTTCCCAGATACATACTCTGCCTTTTTGAAGGTTTTGTTCTGGTTGAAAGTTTGCATAATGAGTCAGCACCGTCTGTAGTTGTTCAAAGCAGACCATCGTGTTGTTTTTCTCCTCTCGAAAGGCTTCCACCTGTATCTTTAAGGAACAAAATGCTTTTAAGTTTCAAACTTTTACCGTCTGCTCTTTGTAGACAGACTTGGCTTTAAAAGTCAAAACGTGTCCCTTCAGGACAGAGCTGCTGTGTTCAATAGGGGCTCATTGTGCGCGAGTAGCGTGCCTTTTCGCCTTGATAAGTGTGTTAGATGGGAGTTGAAAAGGAAGGCCCTCGGGCTGCGATCCGACTCCAAACAAGTGACATGCAGAGGCAGATATTTTCTTGTCACTCGCGGTCCCTCTGCTCTGAACCCGTCCTTGTGGGTTATTCTGTTGTTCTGCCTTTTTTTCCTCCCTCTATAATTATTTCTTTCTCTCTCTCTCTATTCCCTGCCTCTCTCACTGTTGTCATTGGGCTTATCCATATGTTGACAGTTTAGTGGTTTTTCTGTGTGTTGTTGTGATGGATGTGGTTTTCAGATCAAAGGAAGGTGTGACAGGCAAGAAAGGAGAGGAAAAACTCATTTCACTCATCAGCGTGAGCCTTCGTCTCCATTTACTCACAGAGGAATTGAAATAAAAAATACTATTTATATTGCTTTTTGTTCGTGACTGCATTTTTATGACAGATGGAAATGAATTTAGTGATTTTGGAAATGTATACAGGGTTGATGCCCTAAAAAAATTGATTTAAAAATAGAGTCATGTAAAAGTGAATATAGTATTTATTTAATTTTTTTTGGTATGTTAAAATGTTTAAGTGGATGTAAATTGCTCTTTATGATTGCAGTCTCTAGAAATTATTTTTAAAAGTATTTTATAATCTTATAATTATCACAAATGACTGGAAAAGTCTTGGAAATGTATTGGTTAAAAAAAAAGTATGGGAACTCCAAATATACACCTCTATTAACTAATTTCTTTCCACAGTTTATTTCCATGTTCAGTATTAACTAATTTCTTTCCACAGTTTATTTCCATGTTCAGTATTTAAAAAAGAAGTACAATGTGGGAAAAAATGTAAACGTGGGTGTTTAGATCAGAGGGTCGTGAATAACTGACAGCTTCCTAATTAAAGCTCTGGTCAAAGGAAGCGTTTCCTTTGCTCTTTCTCTCGTGCTTTCTTTCATTCTCGATCCTGGTGGTGGAGCGGGGCGCCGGTGTTTTGGAAGGTTTATTAACGGGTCGGCTGGTTAGCTCGGGGTAAAGCGGACAATTAGCATTATCCGCTGCCATATGCTGCCCATTGAGCCGTGAGGCGGAGACAAAGGGCCCTCTCCCACGCCGCCCGAACCTGAGATCACCAGGGGACTTCCAGCACCCGGGTCACATGTGTGCGCCTGCACACCCACGGGAGCCCGTCGCAGCTTATGAACACACTCACTGCCAATCACATGGGCCCGTACTGCCGCCTCAGCAAGGTGCTCGGCCGCACACAGCTGGCTAAGCTGACTGAAAGGCTTTAGATGTTGATCGTAATGCAGAGTGTGTCATGACATGCTGCAGCCGTGTGTTTGTGTGTGTGATGAAGGGGATCTTTGCGTACATCTGAAATATTAATGAGTAGGGGGATCTGACAATGGAAATTCAATGCAATTAATATTTGATTATAATTACTCCTACAATAATTTCCAGAGTATTTCATGTTCATTTCTTACTTCTTAATAAAGTTATTATATTATTGCAAATTTTTAATTAAAATTTGTTGTCATGAAATGTACAGGTTATTTTACAAGTCTGTTGTTTTGGTAAATAGTTATGAATTAATAAAAAAAAAATGAATAAATGAATGAATATCAGAATGAATTCTGTTATTTTGGTCAATATTTAACTAGAGTGCAACTAATTATGAATAAATAATAAATAAATAAATTTAAGCAAATCAAAACGAATTTAGACAAATTTCTGATTTAATTATTAATGTTAGATGCTGTGAGCATAAACAAAGATAAAAGTCACATTGATTGGATTTGGTGTAAATAATTATGAATTAATTATTAAAGATAAGTTCAACTAATTTAGACTAATTTCAGATTTTGATGTATTATGTCATTTAGTAAAGAATTGTAATACAACTATATTGTCAGAACAAATATTTTAATATATTCCTATATATTTATATATTTACTTTACTATATATTTACTTATGTCTTACTTTTTATACCCTTTTGCCTCTTTGCCTTGTTTAAAAGATCGAGTCTTTCTTACAGAGCTTTAACATTATATCATGTGGTGTGATTTTATTCTATTTAGAGTAGAAGTTGCTGTGATGTTGAGAAGTTGTGTTTAACTTAAAGTAACTTGAAACACATTGGGCTGCACATCTGCTCTTCGTTACGAGGATTGGTTCTTACAGATGTGAGGGTTCAGTCAGCTCCTCGCTGGCAGGTGACGAGGACACCTGAAAGTGAAGATCAATGACAGATAATGAGCGAGTCTCTCTTCAACACGTTTACCTAGCGCTCTTTTCCATGTCATACATGCTAGTGTTTTCTCTCTCCCTCTGAGAGGTTTTGTCCCATCTGGTGCAGACGAACTGGGAGAGCCACATTACTGGGCTGTAGCCTCATGTCTTTGATCCTCCTCTGCTGGAATGGGCACTTCTGCAGCTGTAACCACTGCTCCGCTGGCCTGACCCTGGCCAACCCCACAGCTCCTAAAATACTCATGCGTAAACACAAACACATATGCACCCTAACGCCCTTGCATATTAATTCATTTGTTTTGATGCTTTTGTTCGGCGGGCGTGCATGTCGTCGTCATTATATTACAATTAAGCGCTGAAGCGCGCACTACACGGCAGATAATCCTCTCTTTTTTTTAGAAGACTTCTAAATTAGCCATCTGTTACTACAAAGAATTTGTAAATTGGCCATATGCGTTGCATTGCATTGTTTGTGTTGTATTATGCAGTCAGGTTTCGTGGTATGTGTGAATTAGGCCGAGGGTTTGAGGATACGCTTCATGACATGAGCTTGTCTGTACGGTAGTCGCTCTGTTTATAGTAGATATGAAAACAGCAGCCTACGTTCCCTCACACCTGTCTGTAAGCAGTTGTTCTCGGTCATAATGCCTGATTTTGTTTTTCTATTTGCAGGTGTATGCACCATCTCCCAGCTCAGAAGACTTCAACAGAGACTCTCCATCCTACCCGTCCCCCAAACCCCCCGGCAGTATGTTCGCAAGCACTTTCTTCGGTCAGTCATCATCATTTTTTATCACTTTTTAATTATTTATCATTTACTTAAATAAGAAACATACGTTATACAAATACGCAAGTACATACATGAATAATTGGCCAAAGCATTGCAAACACACAGTTTTGTTGTATACATATCGCATACATTCTTGCATTACTGTGGGGGTAATAAACCCCAAGTGGGCATTCTGGGCAATAGAGATTCCCTCAAATATGTGTTTGCTGTCAAACTAGCTGTGTTATCATTCTGGGAGCTAGCTATACATATATTGATTTTAACTAACTTGTTAACAAACTGTTTTATCATCATTTAATTGAACATACTGTGTCTAAATAGATATTACATTTGATGAGGAACAAACAAAAAAATTATTATCTATATAGGATGAATCTCTAGTATGAATGAAATTCGAACGTACTACATCTGCCATGTTGGCTTTGTCATGTGACCTACAGCGTCATTTGCGTCACTTTACTGGGATAGTAAAAGTGTTCATTACATGCACACTTCAGAATCTCAGCGGAAATAGTACATGATCTAGGTACTTTTTGCCTACTGTTTTAAGAATACTGTGAATTCAGACATACTACTCTTTTTATGTATTGTTTTTCTTCTACTGTGGAAGTAGGCATATTTCAGGTGCAGGAGAACTGAAAGAGAATACGGGATGCTATTCTCACTAAAGCATTACATTGTGGTCTGACATATTTTATAATGCATGAAATTGAGCTTTCATAGCTAGATGCATTTGCATTCATGTACTTGCGTAGAGTATACTTGCCAAAGACCGAATAAACCTTATTAAAAAAATTAAATAAACATTGACTAGTTTCTAGGATGTCACAGAAACTAGAGCATCCTGTGAATCCTAGAAACTAGTCATGCAGAGTTGTAATATGGACTGAGTTCATTAACAGGTCTAGCATGTATATGTTATTCTCGCATGTTTAGTAATTCTAAAGCCAAATCTTCTTCCAGTCTACTTTAGTTTTATCAATATTTTCAAACACTAAACAACTTCTGGTACGTTCCTTCCTCTAACCCACACATTAAACCTCGATTTTTTTTTTTTTTTTTTTTTTTTTTTTTTTTTCACATTTGGGAAGCCTTCTCTTTACATTTCAGTCACTGCCTATCATGCTACCGACTTCACAGACTTAAATAGTAAACCAACCATGCGTATTCCAGCTTTGCCAATCAGGACAGATAAAAATGACATGGCCATTTCCAGCCGTGTGTTTCGGACTGTGAGGAATTTCTCCTTTAAAAGTTGAGGCGGAAGCAAGTGAGCAGCGGCTGGCTGAATGTTATCTCAGCTGCGCTCAGCGCTTGGCGCAGACTCAAGTGTAAAAGCAGCCTTAAAGAGAGGCCGGTTCGTTTGACATCCTCTATCCAAAATAAGGAGTGTGGGGGTCAGGCTTCGGCTCACATATCAAACTGTGTGTTGTGTTTGTCCTTGTTTATCAGCATTATTTATTACATTACTGTCACCTCAGTCTCGCTCACAGTTTAAACTTTCCTCGGCAAGAAGTTACAAAGTAACTCATATTAAAACTAGAAAACAAAGATATTCCCCATGCTTTAATGTTAATTTTTTTTTATTTGTTGCATAATCAGATGGGACCCACAATTCCCCTGACCCGTGGAACTCGTCCAATGGGATCAGCCAGCCAGGCTATGGGGGAATGCTGGGAGGATCTTCATCTCACATGCCACAGTCTGGAAACTACAGCAACCTGCACTCACACGACCGCCTGGTGAGAACGCTTTGTGGGTTCAGATCAAATACAAACCTTTTATGTAGTATAACCGTGTTCATAGAGCTAAAAAAGTTGCTCTTCCTCTGAAGTTCCCATGTTCTCTCTCTGTCACAGAACTACCCGCCACACTCGGTGTCTCCCACAGACATCAACGCTAGCCTGCCACCCATGTCCAGCTTCCACCGCAGCAGTGCCAGCAGCTCACCCTTCGTCACCGCGTCTCACACCCCACCTGTCAACACCGCAGAGGGAGTCATGGGTACGCTGTCCTGCACATTTATAGTGTTACTCTTGATTTATCATTCTTAAGAATAATTTCACAGGAATACAGTAGAAAATAGTTTTTTTAAAACTGTACTGATATTTCACAATATTTCTGCTTTTGCAAAAATGCATGCTTGTATATATATATTTTTTTATTATTATTATTAATTTAAACTTTTTATTTTGTTTTGCCATATACAAAATATATACATCAGTCATTTTCTTCACCCAAATATTTTTGAAATATCCCCTAAGATTGTTGAAAAGTTATTTATCACTTATTTATATCAGCACTTTTTCAGATCGGGTCACACACCTAGCACCAGCTGCTACTCGCCTATAAAGAATGCATGACACTAATGTCTCTGTCAGCTCTGTTCTGATGTGAATGGCGTATCTCTGTGTGGTCTTTGTAGCTGCTGCCAACCGAGGGAATGCCACTGGAAGCTCTCAGACTGGAGACGCGCTGGGAAAAGCCCTGGCTTCGGTGAGATCCTTCTCCATTCAACCAGACCGATTAATCCATGCATTAACCATTTCAGAGAACAGGGATTTCCTTCCCTCCATATACATCCCTCCGTCTTTTACAGACGGAGAAATGGATTAAAGACATTGCGTTATTATTTTAACTACTGAGTGGTATACGGTTTCAGGCATCGTAAACATACCCCATGTTGTCCAACTTGCTTTCGGGATCTTCGTGTTGTAGACGTGGGCGAGATTACCCGACATAATGGTGCAGTTAATTCTTTAAAGGACAGGACTTGTGCTCTTAGGCTGGGTATTAGTAGCAGTGCAGAAGGTTAAGAGATTGAATAAGGTCAGAGGATCTGTTTGTGGATGTTTCTGGACCTAAGCCCGGATAATTGTGCTCTTAATCTCACAGTATACAAGAAAAGGAGCTGTACATAAAAGCCTGTGGATTATTCATTGGTTTGGATAATGAGTGCTGGCGTTCGTGCGAGTTCCTAATGTGTCCCTGAAACTGGAGCTTACAATAACCTCTAAAACTTGCCGAGCTTAACTTAAAGACTTATTTAGCTGTTGAAAAAAATCCTGCAGACTTGCTTATCCTACAGTAAGTCACAACAAGACGTTTTTTAAAAGTAGGAACACATCTGGACTGATTCAGCACTGTTTCGGACGGGAGCCGTAGACTCACCTCTCGGCTGAGGACAAGGACAAGCTTTTTATAACCTTTTAATGTTGGAACGGTTTTAGCGCCCTCATCTTCTGCGGAATTGGATGCCTAAAATCGCTGCTCTTTGATTGGGGAAAAGAAAGAAAAGAAGAAAAAATGTAATAAGATACTTTGGGTGAGGCTACGAGAGCACACTCCGGCACACAAACAAACACAAGACAGTGCGGCTGAAAGATAATCACAAATTAAGTCTTTTTGTATTTGCAGACTCAATTCTATTAGCATGATAAAGCTGCGGTGAAACGGACACGGTCGGGCTGGGGTGGAGGGACGAGGGGAGGGGGAAACGACCTAACTGCTGCGGCTCAGCTCTGCAGGCCGTCCATTGTGCCACTTTTGTTTAGGTTCCTTTTGGATGGTTTGTGCTCATTGGGCCCCCGCTGGCGGAGAGCAGCGTGACTGATGAGAGGGCGGAGATCCGTTTGTTGTTTGTAAAATGAGTGGTGTTACACTAGAAATACAGCAGTCAGCCAGGACACTCCAAATGGCTCGCTTTCACTCATTAGGTCAGCAACTGTAAGAGGTCTTGAAGCACGAGGGCGGAGACGGACGCTTGCCTGGCACGATTATGATGGATCAGATTCTGTGTTTTACTGGTGAACAGTTAAGAATAATCTAGACACAGCTCTCATGAAACATACGGTTTGGTCCAAAAGTCTAGAGATGACATGAAAAAAAAAAAAGGTTTAGGATTTTGAAAGCTTAAAAACAAAGCAATATTAATATTTCAGTTTCTACACTGCGCCACTAATTAAATAAGTACATTTGTGACACTGATCATGTGACTCTTTGTGCAGACGCAGAACATGATCATCAGGTTTTAAATTAACTTGTGCTGCTCAAGTGGAAGATAGACAAATCAAATACGAAGACATTATGAAATTCATATTCATTTCCTAGTCAACTTTTCACTAAAATTATTATGTTGATCATTTAATTTGTGAAGAATAAATGTGCACTGAATAAGCTGCTATATAAAAGCATTGTATATTACACACATTTGAATCTTCAATATCTGTTAATATCACAGTGTATTTCTTTCTTTGTATCTCTCTGTATATCACTCTCACTCTATAATCACTTGCCCCCTCTGTCTCTTTCTCTCTCTCTGTCTACTCTGAGAGATGAATGTACTAAAGCCCCAGGCAGGATTTGCAGAGTTGATTGAAACACAAAAGTGTGGCATTCAGGATTTAATAAGAAGATTAATAATGATAGTATCCGCATTTTGATGTGTTTTTAAGTCAAATGGACTTCATGATCCCCAGCAAGTGATGGCCCACAACTTTAGAGCTGTTTTTCTCAAATCCTGCCAGATAATTGGGATCAAAACCTGAATATTTCATAGTGGTTTCCATTATGGGACCAAAAACCATTTTAGCAGAATGCAGAGCATGGCTTGAATGTTTACTTTCATTTGACATTTGGCTTAACCAAAAAATCCCTTTTCAGACAAAAATTTCTAAAAAAAAGATAGGATGCTCGCTCAAACAACATCAGTCAGGTGGGCGGGGGGGGGGGACTACCGCCAGTGTTGCACAATGAGGCAAAGGCATCGGTTAGTTTATTGTGATGTGGGCAAGACTGTGCCCGTCTCAGCCGCTGTTTATTGGCCAGGCAGGGAGTGGCTTTATTACCTCTCATCCATAACTGAAGATGAGCCTGAGACGCCCCTCCACACAGCCACGGGCCAGACTCATTCACTCTAATGAGCTCCAAAAAGAGAGATTAATGACCATGTCTTTTCTCTCTGTTTCTCTGCATCATCCAGCTGCTTTTCTCTATTCCATCTCCTCCCTATTAAGTATTAGAAGTGACGTTACGGGCGCCATGTAAGCAGAATTTGATGGTGATCTGAATTAGGGCCTGCGTTAGCCAATGTTTTATATATCAGATTTTACAACGGCTTCTAATGTTGCTCGTCCAGTCATGTTTTGTGTTAATGTAACTGCTTTGAATCTGTTAACGCAGGCGTGACATAATGTGAAGCATTTTTTAAATACAGAATTCATTTCTGAATAATTGTATCTTTTGGTATACGTCTGCAACCCAGTCATATATCAGTAAAAATATCAAATAAAACAATAAAACAGACATTACTACATGGTTATGTTATGTTTAAATCATTTGATATAAAACAATTGTGATATATACTCTCGCTGTTTTGGTTTATGTCAGGTATAAATAAAGCAAAAAATAATTAAATAAAACATTACTACATGGTTATGGAATATATAAAACATTTGATATAAAACAATTGTGATATACTGTCACCGTGCTGTAAGAGTTTGGACATTTTGTCTACCTCTAATGTGAATTATTACCACCACTGTTTGTTTAGCCGTTTTCCCGCTCTCTTGCAGGGTTTCTGATCTTGTGTGCTCAATGTGGTTTCACTTATGATGTGCGACATGCAGCGGGTGTGTGGCGTGGGCCCAGGCTTTGACTTAATAACAACCACAGATGTGTCAGAAAGCCATAGAACGCAGGCTGGACTGCAGGTGTCTCACAGCATTTAGAGTGCAGGAGGGGTTGTTTTTTTCTGCAGACATTGTAAAGGGAGGCATAGGCTGTTAAAAGCCCATATGCATTCTGTGAGCATTTTTTTTTTACTGCTGCTCTGCTTGTAAAATCAGCAGAATTGATGAGCCCATTTTGGCTGAGCACAGACTGAGGGATGCTAACCGCAGCCGTAAAGCCGCAGAGGGAAACGACAGATTGCTTGTTTAAAAGGTTGAGTGTGCTACCTCACAGACTGATCTTTTTCTTTCTTTCTCTCGCTCTTGTTTGCAGATTTATTCTCCTGACCACACCAGCAGTAGCTTCCCCTCAAACCCCTCCACTCCAGTGGGCTCTCCCTCTCCTCTGACGGCTCAGGCGGGCGCTGCCACAGCAGGTACAGTGGTGACGGCCAGCGGCCCCACAGGAAGGGCAGGTAGAGCACCAGTCTGCCTCTCTGACCCCACGCACACATTCACTCCATACACCACACCCTCACTGGGCCGTCACGCAGTGGCCCTCAAAATGTATCAATGTGTGGATCGTAAAACAAAATATCTGTAAGCAAATTGGTGCTTGAAATCACTTTTGTAATTCCTTGTCATTTAATTAGTCCTTTTTCCATTAAATTTGACCAGTATTTATAATTTGACCAACAATATAAATTTGTTTTTCATGTGAAACATATAATGTTTTGTTTGTGCTAGTAAGTGTCCGTTTGCTACATTTTCAAAAGTAAAAGCTTATTGGTTTTACTATTTTTTCCCCCCATCTAATGCATTCATATATTTGAATAGGGCTGTGAATCTATTCATCTTTACAGGAATAGATTTAATTACATGATATATGCAGATTAATCAAATCTAGTATAATAGCATTTATTAATATTTACTGAGAGAAGCCGTCGAATGAGGATAATGCAAATACATTATTGTGGCAGATGACTCAATTATTGAATGTACACTGCTGTTGAAAAATTTGGGGTCAGTAAGATTTTTAAGTAAGAAATGTATACTTTTATTCAGAAAGGATGCATACAAACATGACAGTTATCAATAAATTACATTTTAAAATATATTAAAATAGAAAACAGTTATTTTAAATAGTTAATATTTCACAGCATTACTGTTTTTACTGTATGTTTGATCGAATAAATGCAGCCTTAATGAACAAAAGAGACTTCTTTCAAAAACATTTAAAGATCTTATCGACACCAAACATTTGAATGGTAGTGTACATTTCATAAAAGTATTGTTTTATTTAATATATTGTGTTTTATTTCTATATCATTGGACATGATCTTATCACTGACCTACAGTCTACACAGCAATACATTTTACAAGTTGAGTTTGTCAGTCAGTCTGAATTATACTAATGGGCTGTTCACACAGGACACATTCTTGTATTCTGTCTGCTCTTTTTAATTGTTGGTTTATGTAAAACATCCATCAAAAAGTCATTCTTTTTTGGGGCACTGCACAGGCTGAAACTCATTTCGCACATTTAGACAGACCCTCAACACAATTCACATTCTTAACATGTTGTTTGGTTTATCATTTAGAATAGGCAAGAAGGCCGTCATTTCGATTTCATTTATGGACAACCATAATAGCGCAGTCTTGTATATGTAAACATTGCATATGTAAACATGATCTGTTAAAAAACATTGATCTGAGATTCTGGAATAAGCCCTTGTCTAATGAACAATCATAGTGGTCTGTTCTTCACTGTAAGAAAAACTATCAAACAATTCATTCTGTCAGCTCCTTCCCTGTCTCAATGTCACACTGGCGCGGTGTAGCTACACACACAGCGAGCTCCGTCCTCTTCACGTAAATGACTATAACACACTGTCCCTCAGCTGCAGAGATTGAAGATTGTGTCGGGGGAGCTATGCCCTGGTTAGGGGTGGATAGATAACCCAACTACTGTGAAGATTTTATCTGCGTCTTACAAGACTGATGCACAGTCATTTTACATGAAAAAAATATATTTTTAAGCTCAGAGGGAGAGACGGAGATACTAGTTGCTACAAATGGCAGTTTCTCCGCCGGTTGTTTTGGTGAGTGGGCAGTTGTGTGTTCATTGATATAGTGGTGACAGCTGTGTCGGTGTCTGTCCCGCTCCTTAGCTTCAGCTGTTGCCCTGCTCCTCACACAGCTGTTGCCCATGACAGAGCGGCCTGCAAAGATCCTCATTTATTAGCATGACTGACTGAGAGGAAGGGAGGGAGAGGATGACTCTGCTCAGAGACAGCCTTCATCTCCACTTAACAGCCTGTACCTTACAATGTCACTTCCTCTTACCCTAGCACACCTTATCTTATGCTTTATCATTTAAAGAATTGCTTAATATTTTGCCAAAAAAACAATTATAATATACATGTAGGCCATTTATATAAATAAATAATAAATTTTTTTATTCATTTACACTACTATTCAAATGTTTAGGGTTGGTAAGATTTTTTTAATGCTTTTTTTTAAATGCTTTTGAAACGCACCAAGGATGCATTTATTTGATCAAACATACAGTAAAAACTGTAATACTGTGAAATATTATTACAATTTAAAATAGCTGTGTTCTATGTTAATGTATAAATATATACATTTTAAAATATAATTTATTCTTGTGATGGCAAAGCTGAATTTTCAGCATCATTACTCCAGTCTTCAGTGTCACACGATCCTTCAGAAATCATTCCAATATGCTAAAATTGTAACATTTCTTTGCAGTTTTGAAAACAGTTTAGTGTATTGCAGTGTAGTGTATTTATCATTTATATGTAAATGTAAAATTTATTTTACTCAGTATTATAAATCTATGAAATATATATTTTAAAAAAAAATTGTTATGCAACACATTCACCAGTGGCCAGTTGCATAAATGGCTTAGACTAGTCTTAAAAGTTAGTCATATAATTTTATTCTTCAAGACTGGCCTTAACTTTTTAAAGTCAGATACATAAAAAGGTAGATCGGTCTAATTTAAATTGGATAAGTAAGACTGATTACCTCTTAGTCTTATCTAACTGCTAGTTGGTCAAACTAGTTCTTAAGACACAGTCTTAACATAGTGGCTAAGGTTATGCAACTGGCCTCAGATATTTACTGATTAATTGGCCTGGCCAAAATATAGATATTTTGGTAGTATTTAGTCACATTTGGCACACTTATTGTCATTCTCTCTGCCTGCAGTTTTATCACATCATTAAGTTGATTTACACTCACAAGCAGGCAGTCAAAGTCCCCTTTGATATCTGGGGCCTTTTATTTATTTTTTGATATAGGTTTTTTGATTAGGGTGTTCTTAGATGTTGGTGCACATTGTTTCATGATGTTATGATTAAGCCAAAGCACATCCATCTGTTTCTCCGGATTAAACTTAAACTTAGCCATTAGACCCACTCATAGCCGGGTCTCTTCTGCCCACACCAGCCAATTAGACCTCAGCACCACGTCACGTGTGGAGTGCCGCACAGGCCCACGCTCATTTGTCAAGCTAGCCGCCGGTGAGGAAGCCTTATTAAACCCTGCATTCTCTTCATGTAGCCACAGTCATTTTTAATAGGCCCTTAATGAAAGTCTGCTTCTGAGAGCTTTAAGCGAATTCCTTCAAATTAGAGCTGCTTTAGGGAGGACGAATGGTTGGAAATTCTTTACCTAAACAACTTCCAGTCACACAATAGGTGAAATTATCTGTGCATTCACTGACTTTCGAAGATTTTCGTAACACAGGCAGGGCCAGACGTATATGACCACACCTGGTCCATCACAACACTTAACAGTATAACAACCGGCAAAATAGGAAATCTCTGATGATGTCAACAAAACAGCCTGGGTCAATGGTTGGGTCTGTTCCTGGTGGAGTCAGATTGAAGGACGGAGACCGCTGATCTCCTTCCTGAACTGATTAATGTAAATAAGCCAAAAGGCTTCCTTTGGGTCATGCTGCATTAAGAGTACTTGACCTGTTTTATGGTACACCATAGCCTTCACGCAAGACTTTTTGCAGTGCATTGTTTGCCAGTTGGAGTGAAGTAGACTCGGGAGTGAAGGCGACCCCCACTACCAGAGTTTTGATTTGTGATTAGCAGATGTGCATTCTTTTGAAACGGTGTTGATTTATGGCCAGTCAAAATCAGCACGTTTAGACCGAGACCAGACCAGAGTCATTTACATCCTCATTATAGTCCTTTCCAGCCTCACACACACTTCCACAGAACAAAAACACATTCACTGAATTCTTCCAGTGAATTTTGAAAGAAAAAAAAGTGAAACATTGAGTCTGGGGCTGAGATTGTGGCCAAGCCAAATAAAATCTTTTGCTACTACTTGAGTAATGTGGCAAAACAGTGCTTTTTCTTTTCCCTGACACCATCTGACATGAGATTGGTCACATCACTGCTCACCGTCCGGTAGTTTGTTTGTGCGAGTTGAGATCTAAGAGAGTGTCACAGTCTCATCCTGTTACGTCTAGAATATCAAGCTCCTCTGTTGAGCTCATGCAGTATTAGAGTCAAGGGAAGACACTCAGGGTCCAAGTCGTCGCCTTTATCGGGGTCATTGCATTGTTCTCCCAAGCTTTTTTAGTCATGACTTCATTAATAAGAGGAAGTAGGAGATGTCCCTCAGCACTGGTTTGTGTATGTATGCGTGTAAGGGTCGTCCTCATACCCTTCTCACATTGCAGGATATGACCCAGTCATAGGAAATGATGTGTCTGGAGACCTAGAGGAAAACAGCTCACATTGAGAATAGCTGGAATCAGCCAGGATAGGAAATGAGTTTTAGTCTATTGTGAATGTGCATCAGTACATTGTACCATGTGCACTACATGCTAAATGAAAGAATTTTATATTATATTTATTTATTTTTTAAAATTTTATTTAAATGCCATTTGTTACAGCAAACTGATAACCTGTGAATTCATTAAAAGAATCAAATCATGAGTAATTTGTTCATGAATCAGACTCTATTGGTAAAGACCATGTGCGTTGCATGAAAAACTGTGGTTCATTTCAGACGATCATTTTTAACCTGTTGTAATGAAGCCTGCTTGTTGTCATGTGTCATGTGACTAAAAAGCTCCTCTGCCTCCATCCACAGGTACAACTCAGTGGCCCCGCGCGGCTGGACAAGCACCTTCCTCCCCGAACTACGAGAACTCCCTCCACTCTCTGGTAAGAGTTCCCTCCATCTCTTCCTCCCCTCCCCCTGGCACTGAGCACTTTTTAATGGACACTGTGTCAGTAGATGACTTGCTCCTGGAGGGTAGGGGGTAGCTTTACATGGACATTCCTGGCTGACAAATGTCAGAAGCGGCACGGGGAGGGGGCCGTGTGGACCGAACAATACCCATCCCTTGGGGCGTGTCTTCTGCCATCTGTCCTCTCTTGTCCAGGGTGGATGGAGATTGTGAAGGTGGGGTGGTTAGGGATTGGTTAGGGTGTGTGATGGGGGGTGGGGTGCTGGCAGCTGCTGCGTTCAACCACTGCCGCGGGATTCCAGGGCTGACTGGGGAACTGAGCCACAACAGGAGATCAGTTTACCGAAACACACACTTTCCTTCCCACGTCATACATTCACATAATGGAGTGTGTAGATAAATATTTACTCTAATGCTTTGTATGCCAGCTGCAAGTGCATTTTTATTGACCGTCCATGAGCAGCGGCACCTCCAGGAAACAGGAAATGAGCTGTGATCGCCTGAGTGAACCATAGTTCATCATAATTAGTTACATGAACAAGTACCAAGATCTCGGCACTTGGAGCTGCACTCCGATGCTCTGCCCGGTTTCTCTGCCGATCTCTCGTAAACTCTGCTTGCTTCTCTTTCGGTCTCATCTCTCACTGTACGTGTCTCTCCTCTTCCTGTGTGACTGTAGAAAAATCGTGTGCACCAGCAGCTTCATGAGCATCTGCAGGATGCCATGTCCTTCTTAAAGGATGTCTGCGAGGTATTCCCGCTCTTCAGACAATCATCTCCTGTCCTTTTCTTCCTTTCAGTCATCAGCTTTCCTTTGATTCGGCCATGCTTTTTCTGTTTTGTGCTTTTGTTGTTTTGCCATTTCATCTTTTATTGGTCTTTTGATTGTAATAATACATAAAAATCACCATATTGCGGTTAGTTAGTGGAAAACTGTCATTGATTTTTTTGTTTATTCCAACAGATGTTGTTTAACTGTCTTAGCCTTCACTTTTTCTCTTTAATTTCTTACTTCTTTTCCTTTTTACTTTGTTTTGGAATGTTCCTTTGCTTTAAGAGAATGTCATCAAAGTCTATGTTGATGTTTGTTTTCATTGAACCTTATGTTGTTTTCTTTTTCTCTCCCTCTCTTCTTATTCTTCATTGCTCATTCCAGTCTCGGATGGAGGACCGGCTGGACAGGCTGGACGATGCAATCCATGTCCTGCGGAATCACGCTGTGGGCTCCACTGCCGCCCTGTCTAGCGACATCCACAGCCTGTTGGGACAAGCGCACAACGGGCCAATTTCAGCCATCGGCACCAGTTTCCCCGCTTCTGGATTGGTCAGCAACCGAACAGCACAAATGGTAAAGAAAACTTCACTGTCACAAAGGAAACTTTAGCTTATGTGTTTCAGAGCCTCCTGAATGTCTCATTTCTTTAGAGGTCAAAGTCTCTTACAGTTATTACAGGCAAGAGGGAGAGAAGCGCATGTGTTTTTTCATTGTGCCTCTCCAAATAGGCTAATAAACAGAGTTAAGCCACCTGTTTAAAATGAAGGCCTGGCCATGTGTTGAAACTGAACTATTTTCCACTGAGAGCAGTTTAACTTAAACCCACATACTTTCCATAAGCGTAATGGCTGGAGCGAAGCTCGTTCTCCCTCCTTGAGCTGCGTTCCTCGGGCTGAATGGGAAAAGCAGTCACAGTAGAATCTAGTAGATCAGTGCCGGTCTGGAAGACATTTCCGCACCGTGGCTCGCTGGGGCTGTGGGGACCTGCGTGATGTGAGACCCGCTGAAACTAAAGCGCTCTGTATCTCCCCCACCATCCCACGGCATTCATTCACTTTTTACAGAAAGATTTGCACACAGCTGTAATGGACGGAACAAGCGAGGGAGGCGTTTCCCAATGGTTTCCCAATAATAGGAAATATTCATGGCCTTTTTTTCTTCATTCAAAACAACATTTGGATTTTCTTTCAACTTTCAAATGAACTGACACTGACCTCTTTGTTTTTGTCCAAAGACTAAAGCAACACTCAAAACTGTTTTCGTGAATGACCACTACAGTGGAAAGTTTACCCTTGGCCAGTTGACCACGAAGATCTGACATTTCCTGATGAGCAATCCACTGTTCTCATGTAATGTTTCAAACAGGCAGTAAATGTCTGGAATGCCGTATCACATGTTATTGATGGCTCAAGTTTCAGCATGTACAATTATAAAAATCATTTTGTATAAATAACTTTTTTTATAGTTTCTTCCCCTCTTCACACAAGCCCTATGTGTGCCAATAATTTTTCATAGCCCCAATCTAAAAGAAACACATTTAAAAATCTAAATGAAACAGACTTCAAGACTGGATCCTAACCTAGTGTGACATAAAACAATAAAAGCTATATTTTCATGTAAATTCATGTTTTAAAAAAGTTTGTCGTAACAAGCTGATTGTAACAAGCTTTAGGACATGCTTTCAGTTGTTAGTTTGATTTCTGCAATGAAGTAGCAACGCCCACTGTGAAATCTCATTGGTCCAAAATCCAGCTCCAACTGTACATTAAACATCAGACATCATCTTATTTACTGTTATTGTGTCATGTCATGCAACAGTTTTGCATTGACAAGATATGCATCAGATATTAAACATCAGATATCCTTTGATTGCCTGTGATTGCGTCACATCATGCAGCAGTTTCAAACTCAAAGTGTGTCACTAAAAATTGTATTTAGACACCCAAAATTTCATGTTGGTCCAAACCTGTATGATGTTCTGTGGAACAAGATATTTTGAGAAATGTCACAGTGTCACCAAAAGTCAATGGTCACCAAAATGGTTTGGTTTTCAAAATATCTTCTTTTATGTTCCGCAGTAGAAAGTCATACAGGTTTGGAATAACATGAGGGGGAGTAAATGATGACAGAATTTAAATTTTTGGGTGAACTATGCTTTTAAAGCAGTAATTTACAACAATTCATTGCTCTCGTTTGCAACAGTGACAAAAGTGATGTTCACAAATCTTTGGCTTGGCACAGCTTATGTTTTCAGTCATGATGAACAGAGGTGCGAGAGAGGAGATTGCAGTGGAGTGACAGAGCCTCTCAGTCTCGTCTGCGCGGGAGCTGTCACACTGCTGTCAGTGGACTATGTGTTCATACACACACAAACAGAGCTCTGTGCTCCAGGCTCGACCCAAACACATACCCAGACAAGGTCCTGATTCAGCACAACCAGAATGCTTTTATTTTGGCGCACTCTTTTCTCTTTCTGTCTCCCCTCTTTTCTTTTTCCTCCCCTCGTCTTTCTTAACAACTCAGGAAATCTGACGCTTTAGTCGTGTGTGTCTGAGCTCCTCAGCTGTATGGTAATCAAGCCCAGACAAGAAAATGGCCGCCTTCTTTGGGTGGCACCCCTCCTCCTCCGCCCCTCTTCTGCCACAGACAAAGAGTTGTTTGGACACCTGTTGAGAGTGGCGCTGAGATTAGAGAGTGGGGGAAGGGGTTCGGGCCTGGGCGGCATGGAGGTTAACAGAGGCCAACAGTGACTTAGGAACGCATTCCTGAAGAAAAAGCCCCCCCCCCACCCCCTCTAATTTCTGCTCCTTTCTCTTCGTTCTCCATGACTCCCAATCCCATGGATCCTAGATCATGGGCGAACATGTGCTCCTGCCTACTGTGGCAGGGGTGGAAGGAAGAGATTTAGAGGGGGGTGCGGCAGTTTCTACTCCACTGCGTCGCCAATCGCATGGCAAGAGGTTGATCAAATCCAGATGTGTTTGGAAGCCACCAGTGACGAATGCTGGTCAAACTGTCATTTGATGTTCAGCATGAAAGGGCAGATTGTTTGTTGCCATATCCACTTGTGAATAAGCCATTTTGTTGAGTGTGCATTTAAAAAAAAAACACACACATAACCAATCTTTCAACTTTAAATCAAAATGCATAAACTTCCTTATTAAGCATTCCTTGTCTTCATGCATGTTTTTTCCAACCCACCCCCCCCAAAAATTTCTAAATTAAATAACTGATGTCACCAAGGCAGTACAGGATCCTAGATAATGTTAGCTGAAAATGTAGCTTTACCATCACAAGAATAAATTACATTTTAACCTGTATTAAAATGGAAAACTGTATTATTTTAAATTGTAATGAAATTTCACAAAATTACTGTTTTAATGCATTTTTGATTAAATAAATGCAGCCTTGGTAAGCATAAGAGACTTCTTTCAAAAACATTTTAAAAAGTATTTTCAAACCCAAATTTTTAAATGGTAATGTAGACATTGTTTTAGGCTACTGTTGTACAGTTTTGCAGCCTTCCTCAATTCTTGCCAATAGTTAAAGTAGTAATTTAATATGTAGTAAATATTAATGTAATAATTGTTTACAACAATCATAGCAAATAATGATAGATTTGAAAATGCCTAGTTCATGTCAAGTGTAAACTTCAGATCCCACCAGAATGCCACTTTTATTGTTTTTGTTTTATAAAAAGAAAGTTAATATGAATTAATAATTTTTTTATAAAACATTGCATACTATAAAAACACTTTATATACAAACAGTGTTCAAAACAATAGAGTATACAATATACATATGCTGTATGTGCTTCATGTTGGTGACCTGACGTTTGCCGCTTCCCTTCTACCACTTCCCCTAAAATCGTGTCTGAAATGGTGCAGCATCCAGTCCGCTGTTTTGTTACAATCAACCTGCCTCTCAAAGTATATAGACACACGCTTCCAAATTGAAAACAACATGAGAGTGTTCTTTGGTGGAACAGAGTCAGAACTCAGGACTGAAGTGCCTCGTGTCTCTCTGAGCAAAAATTTGGGGCTGTGAAGGTCATTCTTTGTAGTGTGAACACCACTCAGTTCTTCAGAGGGGAGGTCACACTACAGTAGGAACACAGAGACTCTCTCAGCTTTGAAGTCCAAGATCTGTCTCTTCGCCGATTTAATGTAAATCACTTTTGTTTCCTCTGCACTGATCAGATGGCTTCATGATCAGAGGGACTCTTGATGTTTTGCTCTGTTCTCTGCCTCATGTATTTATGGCGATCTGTTCTGACAGGGTTCTGTTCACCGCGAAGAGACCGTCAGCCTGAACAACAACCACGGCGGCTTGCAGGCCAGCGCTGGTCCCACCTCCAGCTCGGAGCTCAACCACCAGGCAGAGACGTTCAGAGGTTGGGAAGCTTTTTTGCACCACTTTATTGTTTTGTTTTTGTCAGCTCAATGTCCATTTGGCACTTGTTAACATGTATTGGTCATACAGTATTTACCAGTTTCAGAATTTATGATTCTTCAGTTATGATTTATATACAAGTTTTAAAACAAGTGTTTACCCAATCGGTGCATGCGTGTGTGACAGGAATCGCTAGCGCTCTGGCCGCTCACATTGCCCCATCTCTGGACCTGAAGGTTGAAAATCAAGAAAAGGATGACATGAACGATAACCAATCCTCAGACGACCTCAAATCAGACGACGAGAGTGATAAAAGGGATATGAAACGGGGAAGCACTCGACCAAGGCAAGGCAACCGTTCATCAAAGCACTCCCTCTAAAAGTGTCCTTTAACACTTCAGCATTGACCTTAGAGACAGTGAATATTCAGATAAGCTACTTTTTATGCCTGAAGGTTTACTCCTTAATGCTTGAAGATTTTAAATTTAATGTCACACCAAACACGCAGTGTTCGGGTGTTGAGGCCACATTGTTCCCTCCATCTCGTCTGACAGCTGTGAATTGTTCTGCAGCAGTGTAAATGAAGACGAGGACCTGAACCCCGAGCAGAAGGCGGAGCGCGAGCGCGAGCGGAGGATGGCCAACAACGCCCGCGAGAGGCTGCGAGTCCGGGACATCAACGAGGCGTTCAAAGAGCTGGGCCGCATGTGTCAGCTGCACTTGAAGAGCGAGAAGCCCCAGACCAAACTGCTCATTCTTCACCAGGCCGTCGCCGTCATTCTCAGCCTCGAACAGCAAGTTAGAGGTCAGACGCTGTCCTGCATAATGCAATTATGTCATGTTTATAGAAGGCCTGTCAGTCAATTAAAACACGTAATCATGACTAATCTAGGAAATGAATCTAAATTTACTGTAAAAAAAAACAAAACAGTGTTAAACAAATGCAATTAATTCTACACAATATCCAGGAGCATTTCTTGCCTTTTATCAGAAGCAACCCCCCTCAAAAAAGTGTCTGATATTTTGGTACTTTTTTTGACGGTATTATGGATATGTGGATATATTGTCTTTAACTGCTGTACAGAGTTGTTCACAAGCTACCATTGATTTTTTTTTTCATACAGTACATTGTTGGTAAATATCCACCTCATCCATCATCCATGCCAAATCTGGCATTTAAACATCTGATCGGAAAACACACAAGACATGATTACTTAAATATTATCAGGGAAAATGATTCTCCGCTGTAATCTCCACTGTCAGACAAGGATTTATCAGTAGTATTTTACTTGGGCCCTTGGCAACAGTGCTAAATTATGTTAATCGGTTCAGCAGAATAGCTGGTTTTATAAGACAATGAAAGCTACATATTATTGCTTTACAAACTCAACAAAAATGGTGAGATAATGTGAATTCTCCTCCTGTGTGCAGAGAGGAACCTAAACCCCAAAGCAGCCTGCCTTAAGAGGAGGGAGGAGGAGAAGGTGTCAGGGGTTTCAGGTGACCCCCAGCAAGCCCACCCGCCTGTGCACCCGAGCCTCACAGACACATCCAACCCCATGGGCCATCTGTGAACAGCCAGGTGAGCACGATCCGCTCCACGCAGAGATGTAAAACGGGCAGGTGGTTAAAACACGACACCACAAGCAAGATTTTTCTTTGCTATTGCTTAGACACAAGCTCTGTTCCAACCCCTAGTGAGCTGCATTCTTGCCTACCTTCCTTTTGGAACAGTATTTATATTGTGAATGCACCCGTTGTCTTAAAGGGATAGTTCATTAAACAATTCTGTCATTATTGACTCCAAACCTATTAGACTTTTGTTTATTTTCAAAACACAAAGATATTTTTAATGAAACCTGAGAGATTTCCTGAAAGTTATTCCACTAAAACTTCAAAAAGTTCATAAAGACATTAAGTAATCACTGATCAACACACACATATAGAACATCCAAAATAGTAAACGGCACTTCAAGCATATTTGATGTGCACTATGTATGAGTGTTGATCTGTTCACTATATAAAGCGATCACGTCTCTTTAGAAAACTTGGATTAAGCTGCTCAATTCATATGGATTACGTTTATGATGTCTTTATAAACTTTTTGTAGCATTAAAGTTTTGGTGTAATAGACTTTTAATGGAGGGCTTCATTAAAAATCTCTTCATTTGTGTTTCAAAGATGAACAAAAGTCTTATGGGTTTGGAATGACATGAGGGTGAGTAAAATGATGATAGAACTATCCCTTTAACCTAAGTTTTGGAAAACATACGTTTTTTTTATATACGATACACATGAGAATGCGATTTGAGTGTCAGTACAGTGGGTCATAAGCAATGTCCTTAACTTTCCCTTGCTTTTCAGATCGAATGGATCCCGATGGCGTGTGTTAGACAGAGTCGGTGACCTTGCTTTCCATGGGCGGACAGGACTCACAGTTTGTGACACAAATTTGAAAAGACAGACCACTCGAAGCAAAATTCCACCGTTAAGCAATCCTGAGATAGAAGAAAACTGGCAAGTGCCCAGCTCCCTGTGAAGACATCCCATATCGATAAGCAACTTTCTGCCCACCAGAGAAAAAAACAAAATCAAGCATAAAATCCCCTCAGCACATATCGCTGTCTGCAAGCCGTGTGCCGCAGCTGTACAATCAGAGACTGTCGACACCCCCTCCACCCTGTACGTGGAAGTTGCCTTGTGCCTAAACTGAATTGACGAATGCATTGTAACAGCAATTTTTTTCTTTTCTTTGTTTGTTTTTTTGTTTTTTTCTATTTATTATGTTACTGAGCTGTAAGTCTATGTTTAAAGGGAAAAGTTCTGACATTGCTATGAGAATCTGGTGGCGTTTCAGTAGATCTGCAGTTTGTCCTTCACATCAGAGTCATCAGTGAGCCTCTCTCCTGTCGGTCTGTGGATGGGCCACTCCGCTCAAACATGAGATTAATATATTCGGATCAAATTCCTTGCCCTTTGTAAAAGAATCTGATGGTGTTTGAACGTTCAAAGACTCAAGGATCCCTGTGTCTAAAAAAGAAAAAGGAAAAAAAGAAGTAATATATTATTTATATTTATCGTACATTCATTCCGCAAATGACAGCATGAGAAACCAAAACTACCTACCGGTAATTCTTTATGACGTATGTTGATCGTGCAGCTCAGAGTCCTCGTCACAGACGGAAAGTTACGGGTGAGGCGAGATGGTATCAGCCTGTGCGTTTTTGACCAGGACGATGGTGGAACGGCAAACTCTGGCTTTACTGAAAGGCCAAAGGTCAAACACAAGCTGACGTGTTTATACTCATTCATGAGCAGTGCAGATACGGAAAGCAGAACGTTACAAAACCCCAGCATTCCCTGCATATTTCTTAGTGTCTTAAACGGGAAAAGGGACGCGGTCTCGTCCTTATGATTCCTTTGCCATATAGTGTTATTATGGGTAAAGAGAAAGACGTATTTCCGATACAGTTGATTTGTATTCAGACATTACATTATTTGGTGGAACAGCCGTGGTCATGCCGAGGGGCATCTGTACTGAGGAATCTCTGTTATACCGCGAGACATGGCACTGTTGGAAAAGAGTTGGATTTACAACGAAGACCATTAATTCACCTGGCCTGAATTGAAGTTTTGTTTTACGTTCTTTTGTTTTTCTAAAACCATTAACAATTTTTAAAAAAGAGAAAAAAAAAAGAAGTACTCAAAGTAACCACATGTTATATGTTTATTTGTAATTGTATACAAAGCATCTCTCTAGGCTTCATAGTAAAGCGTATTTCTGTCGTGTGAAAATAGAAGGATGTTCTAAGTTACTTAGAATGGCTTTGTCTTTCCCCTCATACATTGAAGTACTTGCAGAATGTGAGCGCAATGTCTGTTCGAAAAAGAGAAGCTCTATGAATTCAAATGCTGTGAAGCATCTAAATCAGCAAACAGTGGAAATGATGAACAAAGCCGGTTTGGATCAGGATTTATTCGTTTTGTTTTTAAATCTGAAGAGAGCAGCAGTCACTCACCACTTTCGTTTTATAATGTATGCGTTTTTTTTTTTTCTTTAAGACCAAAAATGTTTTGTTTTCTTGCTTCGGATCTCTTTTTCTAGCCTGTCTGTTGTCTTCCATGCGTTCACACCATTGAAACTAGACTGCCACATTCTCATATGAATCACTCTCTCCATTACAAAGTGAAAAGAACAAAAACTTAAGGAAAGATATACGTTTCAGAATATCAGCATTATTTTCCTTCCGTGTTTTTTTTTCTCTCTTTCTTTGCTTTGTGGAGAGTTTCCTTCCTTGACAAAATGATCGTGAAATCCATTAGTCTTTGTGGCCTTGTTATACATTTCAGTATTCAAGAGCTTGTATTTTTGCCGGCTGAAAATGAATCGAGGTTTTGAGTCATCTCTTTGTCTGTTGTTTTGTTTTCCTTTTTCTTTTCTTTTTTCTGTGTTCTGTTTTTCCTCTGTTGGATATGTTAGATTTTGCTGTATGCCCTGATGCTTTCCCTCATAACAAAAAAAATCTATGAAAAGGATAAAAAAAAACATTTGGCTTATTTTTCACTATAGTTAGTCTTTTATACAATAATATTGTAAGAACATTTCTTGAATTCTAAATATTACTCTTTCTAGATTTTTGAAATCAAAAGTTTTGAGTAAAAAGTTTCTTACTTTATTTTACTATATTAGATAGTAAAAAAAAATGTACGGTTATTTACCATAACCTGTCCATTATTATAAAAAAAGATTATCGATAGCATCTTAAGAACTTAAGTAGGATTGTAGCTCGCAGTCTAGTACGTATGGGGTATTGTACGAGCTCGATGTTCCAGAGAATGTGCTCTCCATCTCTGTCTCCAGTCTGCATTGTTGGTTGATGAACGATTTGTACCCATGTCAAAATTCAAGGTATTGTCAATGCACATCAGAAAACCAGCAGCAAGAAGTCAAATTCTTTTCTTTTTTTTCTGTCTCTGTAACAGAAAACACAATATGTATATAACATTTATGTAGCAATAAATGTGCCATCTTTTTTAACTCAATTGTATGTGCCTTTATTTCCCTTTTGCAGCATTTGTCTTCACGCAGCAAATCTGGATAAAAATATAACGTTTTTGGAGGCGCACGCTAAGGGAGCTCAGTGCGAGTTCCCTCGAAAGGGAACTAAATATATATATATATATCAATTTCACTAATATCTAAATTAGTGAACAAAAGCTTGGCATAAATGTGCTGGGATTTTCAAAGGATTTTATACATATACAAACTTTATAGGTTTAGTTCACCTAAAAATTTAAATTCTTCCAAACCTGTATGACTTTCTTTCTTTCTTCTGTGGAACATAGAAGATATTTTCAAGAATTTGTCTTGAAAGAACATTGACTTCCATTGTATGGCCAAAAATAAACTGCAACTGAAACTTTGGGAACAACATGAGGGTGGGTAAATGATGGCAGAATTAGCATTTTTGGGTAGCCTGGGAAAACCCAAACGACTTCCGGCAAATTTAGATTTGCTCTGAAAGTTAGTCTGGCAAAGAGCTCATTTAAGCCCATTTCCAATCCGCCGAAATCGAGGCACCAATCAGAAACGTTGGGGCGGGCTTTACACGATGACGTCAGCGCTGGGATTTTGAAGCAGATTTTTTACATTTTTATGCAATGACATCAGTCCTGGCTGTCCAATTAAAAGACTAAACTAAATCCCAGAACTCATCTCCCTGTCTTACACATCTGCCCTAAATTATGTCTCTGTACATGTGTGTGAGAGATGCTTTCTCATTGGATTTGTCCTGTGCTGACAGATTGGGCCCCAGATCTGCTCTGAGACAGGAACGGCGCTGGGGAAGAGGTTGCTAAATGCTGGAGAGACCTCAGCCAATTCTGACTCTGTCAGCCTTCCAACACGACACCTCATCTGGAGAACGCTCCAACTCCACTGGCTGGGGGGGAAAGCTTAGTCCCATTTCCTCCTTGTGTGTGTGTGTGTGTGTGTGTGTTTGTGGGACTGTGTGCATATTCCTTCCTGCCTTTATCAAAACCGTGCCCTGGAGTGTTTACTTGCAGTCAACTAGAAAAATGGGCAGTGTTTTATAAGCATGGGACCACCATGTTTGAAAGCTAACTTCCTGTGGATCTGGCTGCCTGGGACAGCCCAGAGAGGGAGTGTCATGGTGGGCTTGCTGACAGGAGCATCTTGGCTTCTTCAGTTGGAGCATAATCAAGGTTCTCTCAGGCTGACATGCATTTGATTAGAATGTTCTTGCTGACTCTCTTCCTTTCAATGAAATTGTTATTGGGTTTATACTTAAAGGCACACTGTGGAACTTTTCAACCTTTATAATATATTACCAAAACCCATTGAGATGGTACATCGACTTACAATAGGTTGAATGACACGTCTGCCGAAGCCTGAAGGTGTCTGTATCGCTTTTACTAGCACTATGTAACTTCAGGTTTCGGGTAGGAACCCGAGCACAAAAAGAACTACAAAATTCGACCGCTTTACGGCATACGTCACTTCCCCCACCACCCCAACTTCCTCAAATTCTAACGTGAGAGCTCAACTCGCGTTTGATTGCCGGCGTCTGTATGTTGTCGTCATGGCTGAATCAACAGCTACTCGGAAGAAAGCAAAGATTTTGTCAGAGGAGACCAAAAAAAGAAAAAGGGAGAGTTTAAAATAAACATCGGCATAAAAGTGTATATAATGTAATATTTACTGCGAATTCGTGTAACAAAACTGATATAAGTCACAACATACTGCCGTATACAAATGTAAATGTTTTTTTTTTCCTTTCAGCTCATATATGTTTGTATTTGTGTAAAAGGAAAAACAAACTGAAGACTACAAATAACGGAAATATGTAGTGAGTTATATCAGTTTTGTTACACGATTTCCCGACTACTCGATTTCATCTCCAACCCATTGCAAAGAGATCCTGAAGACGTTAATTGTTTGCTTCAGGTGTGTTTGATTAGGGTTGGAGATGAACTGTGCAGGACAGACGATCGGCAGGAGCAGGATTGGGCAACCCTTGTCAATGCGACTTACCTGATCAGACATTGTTTTCTGCGTATGCTACTTTTATTCAATTTGTTTTCTTTATAGGATTTATATTATTAATCTTATATTAATATTAATATTTTGGTCAGTAGTGAATCGATTAACTTTCTCCAACATACAAATCAAATGCCGTCTGCACACACATACAGACACGGGAGGTTGACCGGTTGACTGTTTGTTGACTTTTGCGACAATGCTGCGGCGCTTGTGGCCTCTAGGGGCACTAGACGTGAAAATTACAGGTCGAGCGCACCCTAGTGGCCAAAAGTTCCACAGTGTGCCTTTAATGGCTTTATATTTGCACTTTATTTAAAATTCTTAAATTGAATTCTTCTAAATGGCTACTTCAGCAATATTATTATTAACACTTCCTTATATTACAGTAAACCAGTGCCAAGGTAGTGCTAATCAGCCAAACATAGACCAGGTCATATTCCACAAAATCAGTTCACTTTGGTGTCCTTGGTGACTTTCTTTTACTATATGCAAAAACGATGTGATCATCGCAACTGGCCCACCTTTACAGGTACTCTGCCCTGCCCCATCTGTGAGCCAGTGGCATCGCTCTTTCCTCTCCTTCTCTCCTCCTTCCAAGCACCAACCTTCTCCCTGTGCCAGCTCAAGGCTTGGTTACATCTCTCAACACTACAAGAGTTAGGTGGCTACAGCCGGTCATCAGATGGGCACCCCCCTTCCTTGGTGTTTCGTCGATTTAAGCCCATTACACCTCGGGAGGGCTCGACAGCAGATCCAGCGTCCTGGATCTACCCCTGCTGACCACCACCCAACTCTATGCCGCTTTTAGTCCTTAAACAGGTTTGCTCTGCCACCGCACCTCCCGCTGTATCCAGATCCAATTTGATGCTGTTTCCGCCTGTTCAGTGACATTGCCTATCAGCCGTTTCCTGGCCATCCCTTCAATCCCCAACAATCCGAGTGTTCTCCAGAGCGACTGTCCCGCAAAACCTCTGCAGCCAATCTCTACTGGTAGATTCCAGGCCTTCCATCCTTTTTGCTGACTCTCGAGGATAAGGCCTTGATATTTTTTGAGCTTACGCTCATGTGCCTCCTCCATCCTTTTTTCCCAGGGTACAGTTAACTCTATGAGCACCACCTGCTTGGTACCTCTAGACCAGAGTACAATATCTGGTCTGAG